AGCTTCGAAGTTCGAAGTGCTCGATGAGCACCGAGGCCAATGTATGACCGACCTCGAGATAATACCGTTATGGTTCCATAACAGAAAGAGCGAGATTCTCGCAATGGCCCTAAGATCACGGCGTAAATTCCAAAATGGATTTGTACTAGGCGGTAAGACATCTGTATAATAAGATTCCTTACTACAATTGGAATTGTACCTTATTTAGGATTCCTCTACTATATAAAGGGCTCCCCAATCATTTGTAAAGGATGAATCATTGAGAAGATAATATACATTTTTACTTTCTTGCCTACTTTTCATCTGAATCGCCTTATTATTATTTTATTGTTCTTGTTCATTCACCTCGATGTCGCTCTTGCTCGAGGTCAAGGTCTGCTTACACAATTGGTTTGACTTGTCTTACTCTTAAATTTATACATTAGATTTCTTGTTTGTCAATTAGTATTGGATTAAATTACATCTTTAAAACCACAATACAAGTTTAATTGTTACTCGGATTTTAGGGTAAACAGTAGTTGTAGCGTTGTGTTAGTAGCTGTGGTGGATAGGGATATCCTTTCAATATTCACATCTAGTCCACATCTACGTCCACTACACGTTCGATTATTGGCTCGGCTTTTGACCGTATTGAGGTTTGAAGAATCCTATGCTTTCAAACTTTTTTGCAACGTATAATCCTTTAATTGAAAAAGAAAAAAAAGAGTCATGACAAAACTATCTTTGAAATACTTTTTATGAGCCAAGGTCTATCGAAATAATTTTTTTATTTTTACAAGATAAAAGTAACATTTGTGTATACGGTATTATTTTTATCGGATTTTATTTATAAAAATATATTAAGTATGTTATTGTTATTATTGACAAAATTTTGGAAGTTTCAATCTCACTATATGTGGTTTTCAATTCATGTGCATGCTTGCGCCTTTATTTGTCATTGTGCGTTTATTCTGACTTTTGAACCTTTTGGAAATCTATAAAAGACTAATAAAGATTCCTTCGCATATTCATATATCAATTAAATCTTTCACCTACAGTCCGACAGCAGGACGAGATTTTCCCTTGAATACACGTGGTGCATAATATTTACCCTCGTTTTAGTTTTTTCTTAGTCTTGATCTTGACAACTCATATATAAAATCATTCTTACATAAAGTAAGCAATTGATATTATGAATGGAGATAAATAAAAAGAACAAAAAGTCATCCTCTCTTAATCTTAATGTAGAGATACATGCGCAACCAACTAAACTCAGACGACTCTTCCCTTCACAAGGCTCAGCTATATTTAGAAGTCATTTCGGAATTGGCTTTACTTTCTCCATATATTTTCATTATTACTACTGTATTTAATTAAAAACTTTCTTAAAACAGTGTACTTTACATTTCAATGTAGCTATATTATACGATCGTAAATTTGGACTTCTAATAAAACATTTCTACCTTACAGTTCATCAGTTTGTCATCAATTTTGTTCATTTAGCTATATAAAATTGCATGTCCTACAACTTGTTTGGATTGTTGCTACATGTCGTTTCATAATGTGTCGTATTGTATTGTACTATATTGTACTGTATTGTTTGATGAATACAACGTTTGGATTGATTGTATCGTTTGTTGTCGTTTCATGATGTCACACACCAATAATATATGAAGAACAAAACTTGCAATATTACTAAGCAAAAAAGAATACTGAGTAGAATTATTATATAAAAGAACGGGGTAAAGCATAAAATATGATTACTTAATAATAAGGAAGGGCAAGATGAGAGGAAAAAGCAAGGTAACAACGCCACCACACCAAATTGGTCGTTCCATAAATTGACACTTTTCGTCGTTACGTAATGACGGATTCAACGTTACGATACAATAATATTTAAGTAATAATCAAAACAAATATTAACAGCGTGTAAAATTTTGTTACTCTATAGATTGTGAAAATTGTATACTTAAAAATCAAATACATAATCAATTTTAACTTGCACAGCAACAGCGTGTAAGATTTTGTTATGCTATCGATTTAATTTAACTTGTGTAGCAGGTTGCCTGTTTTATTTTTCAAACATATAAACCACTTATTATGGAGAGTTTTCTGTAGTTATTTTTTAACTTGTCTAATATAATAGTATTGTTTATAAAATAATTTTACATAGTCACTTTAAAAGGTTAATCTGTAAATCTACTGCTCACAAAATTAAAGATCTAGGAAAAACTTATCTCTACTTGGCATTAACACCAAACCATATACATGCCATGTCTTTGCACATACGCTTTTCTCATTTAATCATGATTTATTTAATATATTTTTACTTTATTTGATTATTTGCAGCAGAGAAAGAAGAATAAAAAAGAGAATGTATCTCTGTGGCTTGAGAATGGAGGCCGAGAATAGACGGGAAGGAATGCATGCTATGGTCCCAAGTCTCCAAAATGTAAATCACTAAATTTACATCTTTTTTTCTAGGAGCATCCATAAAATACGAATATATTTAGGGGGACCCATTTTGGTCAAAAAGAAAGAGTTGAATGGCATTATTATAAATGTAATAGAGTGGTTTCTAATTATAAGAGAAATAAATGGTAAACGGTGACTATATATCTTCTGGCCATAAATTTTGGACAAAGGAAGAACTTTTTAGCATGGAAAAGTTAAATTATGATATCTACGAACATGGAAGGAACCTTTTTGCTACAAGGTGATGCATATAGCGCAAACCCCCCCCCACCCCCCCCCCCCCCCCCTAAATTGTTTAAAATGTAGTGTTTGCTACAGAAGAGTTTAATTTAAAGATTGATTACTCCATTCTGCAAAATGAACATAGTAAAAATAATAAGATGATTAAATTATGCGTAATGAATATTTTACCTTTTATTTCGATTCCAAAAGTAAGATTCGTGTTACGTCATGGAAATTATGAAAGAAATGAGTTTCTTTTGCATGTCGCCGTAGGGACGAAGACAATTAAAGTTTTTTTTTTTTTTTTTTTAGTTTCTTTATATTTTGGCAATGTAAATATTCTTTTTACACTATCACTAACATAAAAGATAACTACAATGATCCATATTAAATGGAATAATTAACCTATAAAATAAGATAAGATAACATGCTATACAGTAGAATATAACACTCATAATGTAAAAATTCTTTACATATGTAAGTTAAATCGATATTACTACCAATAAAGCATTATACAAACTGAATGATATATATATATATATATATATATATATATATATATATAGTACTAAATTATCAGCTGACCACACAAAGCTGAGAGCTCAAGCAGCAAATTAAGATGCTGAGTGAAGAGATAACCTGGTTATTAGCAGAAGGAATACCTTATCTGCAGCCTCTATTGCTTTTGCCGAAAGTACACGTCCCATTTTTACCTAAGTGCATTGTAACGTGCATGAAGCCTTCCAACTTTTATTCAGTCTCTCTTCCTGTCCACTAATTCCCACATGCATTTCGTCCTCATTTCTTATCTTATATATAAGTTTAAGTTATATCGTAAATTTTTTTTTATACTATCAGATCACACAAAGAATATATTTATAAGTATGCCTCCTTAAAATGTAGGATTGATAATCTTAAAAATATACAAAACAAGTTACGCACTACACCAAGTAAACGGGACTTGATGGTGTAAATATTTCTTACACTAACAGTGTATATGACTTAAATTTTGCGTATATATCACAAATTATTGTTTCTGGCTTATTAATCTTGTCCACTATCCCAGCATGCAAATTTTTATCTTTGGCAAGTTATACTAAAGTTAATTTTGACGTTGTGACAGAACACGTACGGTCCAAATTCATCCGAAACATGTCATTTCCGTCGTGAAAATTAAAATTTGAAGAATCCATTACTATGTGAAGATAAATGAATCAGTAAAAGCATTATTCTCACTTCATGCATAAGATTAGTGTGTGTCACATTTACCTGCAAGAACCTGATTTGCTGCAACTTTACAACCATCCAAGATAACAGCGGCATGCATGTTATTAATTCCGGACTTCAACTTTTCTTTACTTGGTGTATAAAACATATTTGCACAATCAAACCTTTCTGACAGCCTCGTTTATCTGTTCTGATATCTTTTGGATGTTATAGTGAAATGTTGTTATAGAAAACATATATTATCACACTTATAACATAAATTAGTAGTTCCAAAGAAAATTTGACCGTTATAATGAAGTATTGTTATAAAGGATGGTTGTTATAGAGAGGTTTGACTCTCTCTCTCTCTCTCTCTCTATATATATATATATATATATATATATATATATATATTGAACATGTAAAAACTTTAGAATATTTGATAAATGATCTTTTAGATTCAATTGATTATGTTGAACGGGTAAAAGCTTTTTTATAGACAACGAATATAATTTAAATTGTTTACCATATCAATTAATTATGACACTCTTTCCTTTTTAGTTTGTCTTAAAAAGAATGATACCTAATTATATTTGAAAACTATATTCAACTTTAAATTTTTCAAAATTCTTTATGATATGCTCTTATAGTAATGAAAATTCACGGCATATCTACGATTACAAGTTCTAGAAGTATCTTTTATATGTGCAGACATTTTTTTTTTCAATTTCATGCCTGGTCAAATCACGTCATATAAGATTAAATGGAACAAAATTAATTTTTTGCTAGATATGAGTGGTTTTGCTGATTCTGGGACATGGAGCTATCAAATATATATTCTAGTAGACCAATTGTGGGACCCGAAGTATTAGATTACTACCAACATTTCACATTTAGCCTATCTGGATATCATACCTACGAATGTTAAAGTGAGATTTAGTCCATTGTTATTTTCGTAATAACATGATGATTTTTCCAAAATGTACCAAAAATGATGATTATTCCAAATCTGCCTTAGCACCAAGAATTTCTCCAGAGTTTCGTCTTCCCTGACCTGTATAAATAGCTTGATGCCCTCCCCTTTATTTCAAGTGTTCTCAGTCCTCTCTTCTCTACTCAACGCTCAACTCTGAAGCATTAACCAAACAGCCCCTACCCTTAATACAGTCATGGACCATAGATATGATTCTTCAGAGACTCACAGGTACTATTTCTTTTTTCACAGTTTTACTTACTGTATGATATATACTAACTTGCTTTCATACCTTATATGGAGTATTAGTTTCATTCATGATAATAGGCAGTAGTATTAAAAAGTATCTCAAATGGATTTAAGTTATATACCGCGTAAAGATTATTTATGTTATCAGTGTATTTTAATGTGAGGTAGTAGGTTGATTACAAGTAATTAGATTACCAACTTTACTTGTAATTATTTTATAAATGATTAAATTGTGTGAATTTTTACGCATGGAATTTAAACGCTAGCTTTAAAAATTCATGGGGCTATTATATATAGGAACAAGTGTGCAGCATGCTATCGGCAGTTCAACAAAAAGGAGCACCTAGTTGAACACATGAGGACATCTTATCATTCAGTTCACGAACCCATGTGTGGCGTTTGCAAAAAGCACACTCGATCTTTTGAATCTTTGCGAGAGCATCTCATTGGTATATTTCCTAATTAATTAAAGCAACAAGTCCCACTGGTCTAGTTAACTTTCTAACATGATTAAGCGTACGTTGCTCCAAATTACATTTTCAGGGCCATTGCCAAAGGCAGATTGTGAAAGGATTTTCAAGGAGGTAGGATGTGACATTTGTTTGAAAATCCTTCCTAGCCGAAATGCACTCAGGGCTCACAGGGACTCATGTCAACTCTCTCGCTCAAATAATGTATGCCTTTTCAAATTGTTTCGAAATATACGAATGATTTCTTCCTTTGGTTAGTATTGTCAAATTTAGACCATAAAATTATAATCCCTTCAATCGATATATAGATTGAAAGAGCTCAGTATATATACATTGGCCAGTTATTTTGGGTACAATACAAAGTAAGTTCCATCTAAAAGTAATTCAGGCTGACCCATAAAAAAACTTATAAAAACATTTTTAAAAAATAGTTTTGTCTGTATGATATAACAACAACAACAACAATAAAACAACCCAGTTTAATCCCATAAATGGAGTATGGGGGTGATATAGTCATGATAAATAAAAAATATTTTTGTATTTATTTTGTTGGTAACTAAAAAAATTGTAAAAGAATAAAAAAAAACAAATAAAAATAGTTTTGAATTGGGACGATTAAGTTATGAGTCATTGTTTAATTGCAAATTAACCTGCTCATATTGACTCAAACAAAGATTGAGCGGGTTATGACCGAACCTATTTATTTGTTCGACCCGTTTCAACTGTCACAAATGTAACTTATCCTGCCCATTTGACACCCCCCCGCAGGTTGGTCTAATCCATATAGTTTGTGTTGGTTCACTCAGGGTGTGCTCTATCGCATGGCTAAGTTGGGAATTAAAGATGACCTAAGGATTGACAATAGCCGAGGAAGAGCTGTTGCTCTTGCCTGCAAAATGGTAGGCGGTGGCATCGATGGCTCTTTGGATCTTTGTGCAAGAGTTTGCCTCATTGATGAGCATGAAAATATCCTCTTTCACTCCTACGTCTCACCAAACCTTCCCGTCACTAACTACAGGTAATTATTTACAAAAGTTAATTTTGTCTAATCCAATTTATAGAGCCAGGAAATTAATCTAGACGAATATTGGATGTATTTTTAGGTATGAAACAACAGGCATAAGGCCGGAACATTTGAGGGATGCAATGCCATTGAAGCAAGTATCAAGAAAGATTCAAGATTATCTTTGTAATGGGGAACCTGTGTGGCAGATTCGTTCTAGAAGTGGAAGGGCTAGGATTCTTGTTGGTCATGGTTTGGATCATGATCTTAAATGTTTAGACATGGAGTACCCGGCGATATTGATCAGGTTAGTTACTTTAATGTGCCTAGTATATTTCCACTGAAATGAAGGCCGAGTTTAAATTTTATGCACGGAAGATGTAAAAGGTATTTACATAATCAAGTAACCAAAAAGACAATCGTGTAACTTTGTTTAACAATTGATTAGTAATCTAGAAAAATATAGTAAGTATACAATCTTCTTGACAAGTTTATAAATTACACTAACAATAAAAAGATTTTTTACACTACCAATGAATGTAACTGAAATCCAATCATATTATGCAAATTAAAAGCCCTCCTAGTTATATTACAATAGAGATTGACGTTTCTTCAACCATTTTTGTATGAAGGGATACTGCAAAATACCCTCCATTGATGAAAACAAGCAAGCTCAGTAACTCACGCAAGCACTTGACCAAAACTTACCTTGGGTAAGCAAGCAAATTTTAATGGTTCTCTTGTCACCTACTAATATTAGTAGCAAGTAGCTCCAAGTATATGTTAAAATCTGTAATCATCTCATTTAAAAAGTTAAAAAAAAAAACACACTTTTATTCATTTAATTATGTCTTTAATATTACGTACATGATCTTTTTATAAATCAAGATGCATGTAGAATTTCCTTTTGATAATTGATGGCGTTAAGACTTAAACCCAAAAAATCTATCTAAGTGTGATACCATGTTGATGCGACAGCATCTAATAAACACCTAAACTAGCTGTTAAAAATAGCGCACTTTTTATTTAATTTGTTATATATACTACCCATATAAAATCCTAAGACAAGGATAATGTATCTGTAGGTATGACATTCAGACAGGAGTCCAAGATCCCTATGATGATTGTGTTGCTACTGTGAAGCTCTATATGAGAATGAAATCACAAGGCCATAAAAGGGAGGACTATCCACTTGCCACAGACCCACAAAATCGAAATAATTTTGCGTCGTGGAAGCAAAGCGAGCTTGAGAGGATGACGCCTGAAACAATGCTGGAAATCTCACGATCTGATTATTACTGCTGGTGTTTGGATTCCTAAGACATTTCAAGTGATGGACAATGATATTGATGATTCATTTATAGACAAAGAAAGAAAGAAAATAACAGTAAAAACACAACCCAGCATATTAATGATATGATTTATGCGACTCTTCATTAGACACCGAGAATTTCAACTGATACTTTGAGAACACATTTACTACTTACTTAAAAGAGTACAACGTACACTTATTCAATAGGAGATGTATTTCTTTTTACTATTATTATTGATAATAAATATGTCTAGTGGTGACGGAATATTCAATAGTAATGTATCAGTTCTAGTCAATTTTTTGTTACTAGTGTATTTAATTTGCACCTTTCAATTTGCATGAAACTGCAAAGGACTTCCTAGCTAGCTAGTTCAGCTTTTTCTTCTTGTATCCAATATCACTCCAACAAAGTTAAATAAGTAGTAGTATTATGTTATTTTGTGGCTTGAATTATTTTCTTTTATTTTTAGGAAACTCATAATCCCTATAGGTTTAGGAAAACCCATTGTCGTAATAGATTTGGGAAAGGAAAATCTTGGGATCTATATATAGGGGTTGTAGTTGGGGATTCTATAGATGGTACTGTGCTTTTCTTCTCATTCATAGGGGAAAACTCTCTCTGCTTCTGCCCCGAGGATTAGGCTTAGCCGAACCTCGTTAAATCCGTGTGTTGATTTTTCTTCTGTATTTGCTTTGTGTGTGACTGTGTGCTAGTTATCCATGATCTTCTGCAATAACTGGCAGCAGAGCAAGGTTCGGGTTTCTACATATTGTATACGGTAGAAATCGATGGCCCGATTTCACGAGCATCACGGCATCTCGAGGGCTTCAAGTGTTCGACTCCGAGAATCCCCGACAGTCAATTTCGAGACAGTACGACTTCAGGACGTTATGAGTAATGACCGGCCCCGGGACAATGTGAATCACCGGTCTCGGTGATTCAAGGTGGAGTTCCCAAGGCACGTGACTAGAGCTGACAAAGCCTAGTGAACTAGTCTGAAAACGTATCTGGGCAGTAGGTGGCTATACCTGCCCCATATCTTTGTAATTAATGCTTTTTTACTATGTTCTCCCTCACATATAAAGGGGAACCCTTGTCATTTGTAGAGGATCGGTTGCTCCATACTAAATACATAAGAACATTCTCTCTGCTCTCTAGCACATTATATGATATTATTGCTTCCATTTATTATCTTCATTATTGTTCGTCATTTATTACTTATCATTGTCCATAAAGAGCCTTCGTTGATTTTATTATTACTGTTAGTCGCTCTCCAACTGCCTTCGATAGCTCCCAGTCGAGCATCGGGATCGACCTCGAGGCCCTCGAATCGACAAGCTCGAGGCCCCGATTGTTAACCTATCGGTTTGGTTATCACCTTATTCCTAACTCTTATCTAGTTTCTAAGTCTCACACATAGCATCAACCGCATAACAACTAGCATAAAAATAGATCACGTATTTTTAGAATCCCATAATCAAATTTAATTATTATTACCATTTTCACGGTAAACAGTTTGGCACCCACCGTGGGGCTAAACATAATAATGATTATTTTCTTGTTGGTTTAACCACGTAACGCAAGTTATCTTTCACACTTTTTCTTGTCCAAGATCTTTGATTTCAGGCCAAATGTCTAACTCGGTAAACGCACGTGAAAACATCAACCTTGAAGGCCATGGAGAAAATGGCGTTGACGTCCTAGGTAACATGTACCACCACGAAACCCTAAGAACGCACCGGTACTGATTCTCGTGGATGCGGTTTCACGCGACGCTCAACATGTCGAAATAAGCTCCCACACCAACAGGAGCATACACCAAGGCGACCAACAAGAAGCCCAGAAAACCCCAGCTCGGGACGAACGGGAGGTTAGCCTTCATGTTATTTTTGAAATGTTGCAGGCATAACAGCTGGCTATTGCTCAGCTGCAAAGTCACCAGAAAACTCCTAGCACGGTAGCACCGAGGACGGCTCCCCCGGCCGAGCAGGTACCGGAGAGATCAAGCAACAATGGGTCGGCAGCTGACCCCGCCATTATGAAGATGCTCGAGGGCCTCACGAGGAGGATTGGATCGGGCGAGAAGAAGATAGAGGCCAACGACAAAAAGGTCGAGACCTACAATTCCAGGGTCGACCAGATCCCGGGAGCACCCCCGATCCTGAAAGGTGTGGATTCGAAGAAGTTCGTGAAAAAACCGTTCCCACAGGAAGCGGCTCGGAAACCCATTCCAAAGAAGTTCAGAATGCCCGACCTTCCAAAGTATAATGGAATGTCGGATCCCATTGAGCACGTTACTGCCTATACTTGTGCAGTAAAAGGCAATGACATGAGGGACGATGAGATCGAGTCCGTCTTGCTGAAGATGTTCGGGGAAACACTCTCTAAAGGGGCAATGATGTGGTATCAAAACCTGGCCCCAAACTCGATAGATTCATTTGCCATGCTGGCTGATTCTTTCATAAAGGCACATGCTGGTGCCATCAAGGTAGCAACAAGGAAATCTGAAGTCTTCAAGATTAAATAGAGGGATAATGAGATGCTGCGAGAGTTCATATCTCGCTTTCAAATGGAACGTATGGAACTACCACCAGTCTCTGACGACTGTGCGGTACAGGCCTTCACTCAAGGTCTGAACGAACGAAGCTCGATGGCTTCGAAAATGCTGAAGCAGAACCTAATCGAGTACCCGGCCGTGACTTGGTCGGATGTTCATAACCGATACCAATCAAAAATCAGGGTCGAGGACGATCAGCTAGGGGGCCCCTCGAGCTCAGTATACCCAAGCAAGCTTTTGGCAAATGAGCCAAAACCAAACAAAGAAAGGTACCAGCCATACATCGAAGACAAGAGAAACGCCCCGAGGAGCAACATACCCCGCAACGACCAAAGGATGGACCGAGGACAGAATCCTCGGGGACTCGACAACAGATCCGGATTTGATAGGCACACAGGGCCAACAGAGGCATCTCGCTTGTCAGAATACAACTTTAACGTCGATGTATCAGACATCGTGTTCGCCATCAGTAAAATCAGAGACGCCAGATGGCCCAGGCTCGTACAATCAGACCCCTTAAAAAGGAACCGTAGCTTAGTGTGTGAATTTCACAACACGCACGGGCACAGGACCGAGGATTGCCACCAGCTCCGAGAAGAAGTAGTAAGACTACTCAACAAAGGTCACCTCCGAGAATTCCTAAGCGACCGGGCCAAAAATCAGTGCCGGGAAAGAGAGGCGGCCAAGAAGAACGAAACAAATGAGCCGCAACATGTCATCCACATGATCTTGGGAGGCATTGATGCCCCACAGGAGCCCATGATGAGAAGAACAAAAATATCCATCACCAGAGAAAAGCAAACTTGGGGCTACATACTCGAGGATGCCCTCACATTCAGTGACGAGGACATCGAGACCTTGTCTCAACCTCACAACGACGCACTGGTAATCTCCTTCCTTGTGAATTCATTTCAAATTAAACGTGTACTTGTGGATCCAGGTAGCTCAGCCAATATTATCAGATCGAGGGTGGTAGAGCAGCACGGACTGCTTGACCAAATCGGGGACTGCCGTGAATCGCCATCTCCATCGTAATGGCTCCCGAGCCGACAAATCCTCTACGACTCGGGGACTGCCGTCAATCGCCATCTCCATCGTAATGGCTCCCTAGACGATGAATCCTCGGTAACTCGGGGACTGCCGTCAATCGCCATCTCCATCGGCTTATCAAAAATCCGAGGCCATAAGGCCCCAAATGGGCAGCCTCGGTCTCGTAAGACCTACATAAGGCAACAATAATATCTGTAAGACCTCAAGCAAGGCGTGAACTACACTTGTACCAAGTGACAATATCTGTAAGACCTCGAGCAAGGCATGAACCATACTTGTACCAAATATCCAAAACTGTAAGACCTCAAAGACATGTCAAACTTGTAAGGCCTTACTAAAGGCGTAAACCCGATCTCAAATTTAAGGCTATATATTGAACTTGTAAGACCCCTAAAAGGCATACCCTCGATATAGACGCCGAAACTACTTCACTCGGGACTAAAAGTGGCTCCGGCCAAACACAAATGACTACGGTCACAAGGCTGTACCAGCCAAACTAACGTGACTCGGGGATGCCCGACCGTCGCTACAAAATCACAGGCCTTCAATTACTTCGAATCTACTTCGAAAAGAACCGGTTAGACAGGCTACCCTTGACATAGGCAAGAGAGCTTCGACTATGTCAGCTCCTAAACACTGGCTTCGAGATACTCAGCCTCCGAGCCAAACCTCCTGAGGTGCTCGATCATCGCCATATAATGACTGCAATCGAGGTTTTTTATTAAACTGTCAAAGAGTTAGGCAAACACTTTCAAAAAATCCTTATCGAGGGAAAAATAAAGCCTACATAAAAGGTCTCATCGACCCAAGGCGTAAGAGCCATTGCCGCCAGCCCGCATAGAAGGTCTCATCGACCCAAGGCATAAGAGCCATTGTCACCAGCCCGCATAAAAGGTCGCATCAACCCAAGGCGTAAGAGCCATTGTCTCCAGCCCACATAAACGGTCGCACCGACCTAAAGCGTAAGAGCCACTGTCGCCAGCATAATATTCAAAACTTGAGGGTCGAATGAGCTCGAGTCGAAACCTGATTTGGAGATTGAACCCAAAACAGTTAACTAAATCTACCTAAGAACAAAAGCGTAAGAGCCATTGTCGCCAGCTTACACTAAAAGGTTGCATCGACCAAGTGCGTAAATGCCTACGGGCCAGCCTAATGAGCCTCAGGGCCATACCACGAATCTAAGGGCTCCTCTCAACTCAAAGACCAGTTCATCTGGCTAAATTCAAGACAGGAAGAGATATAGAAGAAACAAAACCACAAGGTTTTCTTTCGTACACATATACAAAAAAACACAAGCTCCATTTACAACATACTTTGAAAATACTGTGTACAGCATCAGAAAAAGGAAATTTACGTTCCCCTTGGGGACTACTGCCCGTCAGCCTCATCCTCGCTATCCTCGGCGTCGGATAGAAGCTCGCTCGTTCGCCCTCACCGGTTTCACCTCTCCCGAGAGGTCGAAGCCCCTAGCATAGATCTCCTCGAGGGTTTCCCTTCGAGACTTACACCGAGAATATTCCTTGCGCCTGCCCTCGCAGTCAAAAATCCTTCTCAGCTCAGCTTGAGCATCGGTAGCATCCTTCAAATAGACCG